TGCCAAACCATGGTGTTTATTTACTTGGGCTATTGTGTTTACAGCCATTATGTTAATTGGTACACTACCACGGCCGCGTTTGTGGTACCCGTTGAGCCTGAAGCTTTTCTGGTCTGCGAGAGCCGCTGAGCAACTCTTTCATTCTAATAGTATTGAAAACCCTTTTTCATGTGCGTCAGGGATTCATTATCGGTTTGGGCAGTAACGTGTGGCATATAGGTAATCTCTATACTTTTTCGCGTCCCACCAGACCACATAGAGTTCCTTCTCTCTTAGTGGATACTCCTGGTCCCTCTCCACGAAGCAATGTGAGTAGCAGGCGATTTTCTGGTACTTCTCTGAACCCTTAGCTTGTTAACGGATCATCACATCTGCTACTGCCTCGCTTGCATCGGCCGTGAGGAAGAAGCGTTTCTCAAGATCAGGGAGCCCCAGTACTGCCAGTAATGGAAGCAGTGTCAGGTGGCTAAAGAGTATTGTGGCGTCTGGATCTTCATACTCCACCCAACTGAACTGCCTCTCCTTCTTAAGTAAAGTAATTAGAGTGGCAGATATGCGAGCGAATCCAAGAATGAAGCTGTAATAGTGTGAAGCGCGACATAGAAACTTTCGATCGTCCGTGATAGTGTGCAAGGGTTACCGCCATGTCTTGCTTCAACCGTCGCCGCACCTGGTTTAAATCCCGCTTCTGAGGCGCGGAAACATAGGAACCTGTTTGTTTGAATGAAAAACGAACGCTTTTGCGCTATATGCAAGACGAACACTTTTGCACACTTGCATGGCACGCTTGAGGGTATGCAAGCTCTCCTGCATGTTGCGGCTTAGCAGAAGCAGATCGTCCATGTATCTTACCATCCACCCCTCAGTTACTGGCCCCAAGACGTCGTGATTGACCTGCCGAAGAAGTTCAGCAGGTGTATCAACGAGTCCAAATGTCATACAGGTATACACCAGCTTGCGGATGTGGGTTTGGAGCACCATCTTGTGCTTGCCCTTCGGGTGAATTGGGATCTGGAAAAATGCCCCAGCGAGGACAAGTGCTGAGCGTATTGCAGAAGCCTGGAAGCAGTCAAGAATTTCGTCTATCCACGACATCGGAAACGAGCAAAATCACAAAATCGCTGTGAAAAGGGCTTCCAGGCGGCATGCGCCACCTGCAGTCCTTTTTTTCTTCACCAGCACGGGTTGGTGTCAAAATGCGCTAGTTGGCGGCTGTGCCTCGCCTTTTCTTAGGAATCCATCCGCCTGTCGCTCAATTTATTCTTCACCTGTACCCTGGAAGGAAGTCTGCAGCTGTGCCGGGAATGAGCTCGATGCAATGGGCGCCCAGCGGCTGGCCTGCCCTGCAGCAGCTCTTTGTTATTGACTGCGTTAAAACTCTTCCTTCAACTTTGCCATTTCTGCTGTTCCGCAGGTGTTAATGTGGATGTAAATGCAGTTGGGTGCGCTGAGAGTTGCACGCACGCATCGATTCCAGGCAGAAAGGCCTCGATAGTCACATCGGCGGGATGCATTTGTGCCTTCCACTGGGTCACCGACGGCACGGCTAGGATTATGTCTTGGTGAACTGGTCCAACGTAGAAGTCCCTTAGCATGTTAATGCGCCCTGTTTCAGAAATAAAAGCACATATACGCCCATACTTTTGCCAATCCTTGTATCCTGCCCACCATCCGCGAAGCGTAGCCTCAAGGAATGCGCTAACGAGTGGACGGGCAGGTTGCACCTCCTTCCCCTGGTTTCCGATATCAGATTCACTTTGCATCCCGTAGAGCTAGTAGCGCCAGGAGTCAATTCCGTGCTTGTACAAGTTCGTGTTTGACTCCAGGATTCTCGGGTACGATCGTCATCCCTTTCGGAAATATGTGAGCATTTTCATTACAAAAGAAGCAAATACGTCGTTCGGGCGGTCCTTCCGGATAACTGCGGATCGAAGGCGCTCTCTGCTTCCGGTTGCCGCTCCTGTTCCCGCTCTGGCAGGGTCCGGCATGCACAGCTCCAAGATTCACAGGTCCTAGCCCGGAGCTGTATCCACGCCAACATTCTTGCTTCCCAGCTAGGGTAGCAGAGTTGGCATCTTTTATTTCTTTTATACGAAGAAAGTCCATCTTTTCCGCGAGTTCAACATTTTCTCTCTTTAGACCCCTTTCCTTCGCCTTGCCATTTACCAGTTTCCTCCTTGCGCTGATATATTTATATTTATAGTTCGAAGTCCACAGGCAGCCCTCCACCAATCTCTGGTACTGCTCAATCTGAGGTTTTTTGACATTTGCCCTTGCCTTGGTCTTCATAATCCAGCGATATCATCTGCCACTGTCGACTTCCGAATAAACTTGCAGCGCAGAGAATCCCAGAAGGCTTGAATGCATCTGAAGTGCCCTGGGAAAGTAGAACGTTTGCTTAGCCTTACCGAAGGTTGTTGGGTATCCCCCTCTAACAGGGAATATGCCAGTAGCAGTTGTACTGCATCCTATGCATTTTGAAGATGGAAATCCACGGCACCAAGGAATTCCCCCACCGCTTTTACGTCCCAGCACCCGCCATATAGCGATGGTCAGCACAGTCACAGGGATTCCTCCTGAATTTGTTATGGTGAATCACTTTCGTCAGGACTGCATGCAGCAATCGAGCTTGCTTCTGCTCAGCGATGCTCCAGACCAGGCGTCCGCCCTTTCCCTCCCCCTTCCCTACGCCCCACCCTTCCCCCACCTGCTTGCAAATCATGATCAATCTTCACTGGGCAAAAGGGAATTGGCTGAAGTTTGAGGAAAATGTTGTTCAACGAAAAGGAAATAGTTTTCTTCTATCTCTAAGAGGCCAGCCGCACGGGGGTGCTCGTTGCTCGCACCTGACCTTTCGAACCATACGATGCTACCAAGTGTTATGCGTATTTTGTGGCCTTGTTCAAAGACAGAAGTGAGCTGCAGTGGAGCTGAAAACTTGAGGTTGGAATTTCCTCCAAAGATAGCTGACATCCTTCGCCTGTCCCCAGGCACCCTGGGCATTCAGTTCAGGGGCCGGCGTTGCGGGCAAGGAGGCAGCCTAACTGGAGTTGCAGTGCACCTTGCTCGAGCTGGCGATGTAAGTCAGTCTCACGCGTGAGCGCAAGTAGCTTCACCGACGCGTGCGAACGCAAACTCCCCCTAAGCGTGTAGCAGGGTCTGGTTACAGTTAGCACAGGAACCGTCATAGAACGTTTGTATTTGCTTCCACGCAACATACAAGGGCCAAGTAAGTGTATTCATTGATAAATGATCCAGTAAATGAAGCTTCGCTGAAGCTTTCTTGTGTGCAGGCGTGAGGGTGGCTTGTCACCAGCCGCAGCGAGGTGCGCTGCAACCCCATACCAGGCAGCCTCCTCCCCGCAACTCGCAGGCCCTGAGCTCAACGCCCTAGATGCCTGATGACAGGGGAAGGAGGTCAGACGCTTTTGGGAAATTCATACCATAAGTCTTTGCGTGCGTTTCAGCTCGTTTCTTTCCCTAATTGAGGCCAGAGAGTTATAAAGTGAATTCAGAGGTAGTACTGCATGCTCCACCTCGTGATACACTTTTGAGCGTTTGCATTTGCTTGCAGGCAACCTACCAAGGCCAAGTGAATGTCTCTGTGCTAACTGGAGGCAGACCGCGCTACATATGAATATATCAACCTCAGACGGCCCGTGGCAACATCTACTAACCCTTGACGACCCCTCCCACGACATCGCTGTGGCAAAGAGCAACGAGTTCAGCTGTACCAAGAAAAAATATCTTGAGAATCCATACTATCCGATCCCGTCTATTTACACTCTGAAACAAGTACGTGCAACCGTATTATCCCTGCAATGTTTAGGTACCAGTGTGGCGGTGACGGAAGGCGAGAGGCCCGACAAGCTTATTAAGGACAATGTCTGGAGGTTTATTTCGTCATAAAAGAAGTGTATTTGCATTAAAAGAGGTGTAAATAAAGTAAAGGATTTGTGTAGCTCTATGTATTTGCCTATCCGGTGGTGGCAGCCTTCGTGTACCGATTTGATATATTGGCTGTGCCCGCAGCAGCTGCTGCGTGCATGCTCATGAATACCTCGTCGCGGGCTATTGTTGGTAGTGCTAGCTCTGCCTAGTTCGTTAACTTCTGCTGTAAATGCTAATACTTTTGCGAGGAATACTACTGCGACCTATTTTGCTTCTCGGGGAGGCGCACAGTTGGTACATGCGGCGGCACTGGTGTGTCCTGCGTCACGGGAGAAGGGCAAGACTGACCTTCTGTTTTGGTCTGCATTCTCTTAGTACATTCGCAGAAGCCATCGGTCTGTGTATTTTCCTGTGCTTATGAGTTGCGGTTTCTGTACAACAACGACATGGGTGGCGTGACACGGCGCCCGTCTCCGTTCTCTCCCGGGCTCAGCGCGCTTTCTTTATCTCGCGAGCAGAGCAACTTACTTTGGAATTTCAGCTGAGGAAGGCCCCATATTCTCGGTGCCTGAGCAGCGGAGCAGGGAACTATATCCGGTAGTAGCGCTGCATACCTTTGCTGCATGCAGTGGTGGTCCGCTCCTAGGAGTTTGTAGCACCGGGGGGTATTTCATCTGTATTCAACTTATTGAGTTATACACGGAGGGGTTTACTGAACGGGAGAATGGGTAACCCGCGAAACCTCCGCAGAACATCTTCGCAAGAGGAGGACGAGGGCGACGTCTTTGACGAGAAGTCTGACAGTAAGTTTTTCTTTATGATGGAGATGAGCTAAACAAATAAATAATTTGTATAACTATTTTTTAGTGATGAAACAAACTGTTATTTGGTAGATAAGCTGGTTCGTTCTCCGCTTAGACGGACCTCTTGTGTGCACTTGGTTGCCTCCAGCAGTTATAGATAGCTGCAGCCGTCTTGGCCATTCCTATAAATAACTGCGGAACTAATAAATATTATTTTAGCTTATCTCCCCACGCATATATCCTCTAGCCCTGCTTGCATTCAACTGTATATGTGTTACTGTGGGGGCGTCATTTGTGTTCGCACTTGTAAGGGTTTTAGTATTTCCTTATTATCTCTCTTTCCTTTCTACTCTTCGTGTGCTGCGCTTCTTAGTTAGCTCCGGCAGCGAATCAGAAGAGGAGGCTGCAGCAGACGCGGCCCCGCGCGGTGGCGCCGCAGCCACCGCCACCACCACCGCCACAGCAGCAGCAGCAGGTGATTCCTCTGCCGGTGCAGCAACCCCTGCAGCATCTGCTGCCTCCTCTTCTGGCAAGGATGAGAATCACGAGCCGAATGAGGGCCCCCCAGCAGCAGCCAGCGACGCACAGGCCTCCAGTGAACCCTTGGGGGAAGCAGAACATGAAACCCAGAAAAAGACAGAACAGACAAATGATGAAAGCATCAGACCCGGCAGAGGTGCACCGGCAGACGGCGCCAGGCAGCGCCCCAAGTCGACCTGGCAGGTGAACGCTCTCCCCATCTCTGCCAGGCTTAGCTCAACAAGAAATTACAACCAGTTGCATGCATACATACACACATCTGGTTTTTGTAAGGGTGTGTGCGTGCATGCATACGCCCATACAAAAACCAGATGTGTGGAAGCGCATACGCTTCTATATATATATATATACATATATATATATATATATATATATATATATATATATATATATATATATATATATATATATATATATATGTCAACCTAAGCAGCAAGCATGGCCGCTTGCTTATGTTCATGTACACTTGTGCGTTTGTGTTTATGTTTGTTTGCATGGATGCCTGCATCTGTAGCTGATGCAAGAAGACCCTTCTTACGTGCCTCGGGCTACTCGTTACTTTCTGCACGACGACCGGCGCGAAGGCGACAGCGGGGATTCAGAGGCTTCTGAGGAGGGGTCAGGCAACCAGCCGGATGACTCTGTACCGCAGAGCACCCAAACTCGGTAAGCAGTGTTTCTTGTGTTTTATTTCAACACATTTTTTTTGCTCCTGTGGTGCTTTCTCTGCTTTCTTTGCTGTTTTGTATGCCTTTCTTCGTTCTCCCCTTCTCCCTTGGCGATTCACTGATCGTTAGGTCTGCTTCTCTTACCGTGTTCATCCGGGTGTAGGGTTTATTTTATTTCTTGTTCGCTTTGTTGTTGATATCTTTATATTTCAATACTTTCTTTGTTTGGTGGCAGTTTCTTGTAACATCTTGTTCTGCCAGTATGGGGTCCCCAAGCCGGCAGTGTAGTATTGCAGCTGCCAGTCATGTTTTTCGTTGTTTGTTTCGTTGGTACTACGAAATATTAGCATCAAAAAGAGGATGTGGCTCGCTCTTCCCTCCTTTCTTTACTGTCTATGGGTTCTGGGGGTTGTTCTTGCTGAGGGTCTTTCATCTCATAAGGCATACACTCACGGCTATGCACTTATGTGAACTACCCTGCGGCGTTTCATTGATTGATATCTGTCGTTGTCGACTCCGCCTATCCGCTTAACACTTCCGTAGCATCTCCCCGCCCGAGTTTAGGTTCTTATGTGGCCGTTGTGCTTTCCTCGCTGCTGCAGCGTGGGCCCCAGCAAGAAGCTGTGGACGCCAGACGAAAACAAAGGCGTGTGGAAACACGACATGTGGGAACTTCTGCAGAAAGAAGAAGCGGAAGGAAGGCCCCCAGGAGGCAGCTGGTCGAGGGGAAGGAACTACGGTGGGTTTGTTGTTGTAGGCCTTGTTAGTGGTTTATGGTCGTGCTGCTGGTCGTTGTTGTTGAGTTGTTTGTTTGCAAGTCGCTGGCGCTTGCCGTTCTAGCTTTGCTGTTCTTGTCCTCCTGTTTTTCTACGAAACGCGGAAGGAAACAAGTACCGCCATTTGTTTTTATCGTTGAGCATTACCCACATGAACGGACATGCATTCGCATACACAGAAGTATGCATATTAATACTTTATATATTGTATAGTATATACATGTACACATAAGTTTTCTTGCACGTATACATTTAGTTGCCGCGAATTGCATGTGTGTGGAGTTCAGGTCGGCGTGGCGGGGCCACACTGGGTTATAGACGAGGAGGTCGTGTTGAGTCCTGGGTGCCTCGAGGCTCTAGAGGGGGAAGGTAAGAGCGAGGCACGCACCTGTATCTTCTGCGGTGTGATAGGCAGTCAGCTGTTGCAACAGGCTTAGATGCTGCGGACTGACGCTGAGCCTTGCCAGGGTGGTGTATGCTGGGCGCAGGTTGGGCAGCATACAACATATCGAGAAGGACTCTACTGATGAGCATTGTGAGTGGAGGCGAATAGCCGAATCTACAGTTGCTTTATAGAGTTTTACTACCGTACAAGTAGTTTGCCGTGGGTCACGGGTAGGTGCAGGGTTTAGGGTTTAGTGTCGAGGGTTCAGCAGGGATAATTGGCTTGTTGTTGCGTCTGCTGAACCAACTGCAGGGCGGGGAGGATGGAGGCCGTCGCGAGGGCGCGGGCGAGGTCAGAACTGGAGCAACGGGCCACGGAAGCAATACGTTCCAAAGCAGCCACCGAAGCAAACTGCAGAGGCGGCTTGAGAGGAGGGGCCACACGTCAGCGGCAGCCAGCCCCTGGGTGTCTTGAACTCCCTGCCCCAGCCGAACACAAATATGTTTAGTGTAGTGCAGCTGTACAACGGGATCAGCCAAACGTGCTGTTCTTGTCTTGGACGACGCCCACCGCAGCAGCATCGCGGCCGAAGCCAGCGGTCATGAATATTCGTTTTATATCTGCAATCAGTACATTGCGCGCGGTACAGGTGGATCGTACACGAGTATAAGTAGACTGTGCGTGATGGTACAGTGAGTGATTCATGCTATGTATGTATTGCACGCATGCACAAATATGGAATCGCGATGACACTGACAAAGCCAAGTGGTGGAGCTGCATGTGTTATGGAGGCTTTGATGCCGACGTCCTGCTGTTTTAGTGCGTTGCAACCAGCAACGGTATTTCCCTGAAGTTCTGTGGAGTGCCTCATAGACCGCGCAACTTTGCGCGCCTACACAGAATACCCAAGGCTTTTCTGTCGTGCGTACGAGACAGGAAAAGTCCGTTTGCTGTATTTCCTCTGTCCTGAAGGGCACTCGCCAGCCACAGTTAGCTGTGGTTGCATGTAGCTTTGGCTGATGGCAGCTGTTCTGCAAGGGTAGGATGGCCAGAGCTCGCCAAAGCTACAGATGACAGTCACTCTATATTGTCTACGGGGTGCTGCGTCTCTGAACCATGGTAGAGCCCGCTGTGCAGGTAGTTGTGTGGTATCAGAGTAAGGGAGGTCCCTGCGGTGAGGTTGAAGAACAGCCGAGTGCAGTGGGAAGGCAGACAAACAGCAACGAACACAGGCAGGAACCACAGAACACACGTGACAAGCAACGGCTGACAGCCAAGAAACACAGGAACAGAAAACCTGGGGGCTGCTGGGTGAACTGAACTACCTCAGCGTCACAGGCCTTCGTGTGCTCTGAAAGGCACTGATGAAAGTGCGGCTCTTCTGTCAGCCGGCGGGAAAGGTGTACCCAGGGTTTGGGCCCCAGCTGGACGACTTGAGCGTTGAACGCTCAAGTAATTTTTGTCTTATTTTGCTTAAGAGATCACGTTGATCTCCGCAGTCAACGCTTTCCTCCTCCTATAGTTGGTGGACGGTTTAACCTCTGCATCCGACACACACCTTCGCAGTATTGTTTAGTTTTATCTGAAGATCTGCTTGAATACCCTATTGCCGATGTGTCATCTTCGTCATAGTTCAAGTTGGCACTGAACTAGGGAAGAAAGCATGTTGACTAGGAACTCTAAGCTGAGAACCAGCTGCCTGTAGGGACGGGGAGTAGCGAGCATGCTGGGCTACATGGCTGTGAGCAGACGTTGACAAAATTGTTGCAGGGAGTCAATGGAACGACTGCGCAGACAAATACCAAGCATGCTGCAGCAGCATCTCCATTGGCCGTCTTCGGCCCGTAGGCCCCCACTGTCTGTTGAGAATGCAGGAGAAAGTTGAATGGAGCGAAATTTTCTGTTTCCCGCCGCTTAGATACTGCTGGCCAATAACGTGCAATCTAAATTTTCGAAGTTTCAAGTAGAAAAAAGGATATGTAAATATATTGCGTCTTTCTCGCTTGAGAAATATTTCCCGAGCTTCACTAGCGTATTTTTAAGTTCAGTCAAATATTATGTTTCGGGCCTCTGCAAATTTGCATTCGACAAAAAGCTCGAAGGTTATTAAATGCCGTTGCTGCACAAGAGCAGCAATTCTGTCGGAGTTACCTTCTTTGCGTTTGCACGCGTTTGTGTGTCAATACCTGTCTGTCACAGTGTTCATCCTCCACTGTGCCTACCTTTCTATGTATGCGTTTCTGTGTGTACTTGCGTATGTGTTTGTCTCTTTTCGTTGCGTGTACCTGCGTTTGCTTTTAGTCTCCTGTGTATGTGCGTGCATGTGTGCTTGTTTGAGGGTCCTTGGTGCTTTGTGTTTGCTGGTGTTGGACTATATATGCCTGTGGGCGTTTCCGTTTGCTTGTGATGTTGCATTGGTTGGCTACTGGCCACCAGAGAAAGGCGTCAACTGTCTCTCGAGACATCTGAATTTGCATCTGCATCTGTCTCTGTTTCCGTATCTGCACTTGAGCTTATTCTTCTGCTGGTGTCTGTCTCAGCATTTGCATTTGGTTTTGTCCCTTCCAGAGTATTTGTGTCCTTTTGTCGGGGTTTACGGATCCAGCCTGCTGCGATGGAGAGGTCGAGGGGGCAGACGTCAAGCGTTGCGTTCACTGCTCGTCTTCCGGTCGCCTGTGCAATTAGTTTTTGTTGTCTTTCTTCTAGTCTGCTTAAAAGCGCCTGCATATTCGGCACGCGTTGCCGCCACAGGCGTTTGAGCAGCAAGCAAAGACAAGAAGGGGCAATGCACAAGGATACGTCCGTCGCATCTTGGCTCTGAAACAGAACACGCAAAATGGCTTTCTTTAGTTCTACAGCCGGAGAGTCATGAAGCATCCAACACCAATCATTCAAACACAAACAGTTTTACCCTTTCCCTAAAGCAAGAATATTTGTACTTGCTACGCCTACTCTAACAAAGTTTCTGTATCCACTACGATGACGTAAGCAAACCTGAAAAGGGGCCGTAAACAGAACTCATGTTTAAAGGGTTTAGGGTTTAGGGTTTAGTGAGAGTTTGCGTCGGCAATTTCCTAAATAGAAAACGTATGCTAATATCTTCATTCATTTATACTGAAACTGTTGGACGCCTCACCTCTACTGATGTGAGACAGCAAGAAAACAAATGACGCATTTCTTCGCAAGAGACCACTTCAAACAAAACTGAACCACACAAACAAATTACTGAATCCAATGCATTTCAGATAACAACACAAACTGCAACGCATCGACCAAATAAAACAATGGCAACAGAAACCGAGTCAAACAAATAGCGAGCAACTGCAAAACTAGAAACCAGATACAGAAAACTCAAACGAATTGGGTGCTACACAAGGAAACGAACAGCAAGAGATAAATCAGTCATTCCCTGGGGTTTAATATCTACGACAGAGCACTGAAATACACAACGTAAGCAAATATATAATATATATGCATCAGAGTTTAGTGTGCTGCTATTGAACTGCATAGAAAAGGCACGTGCATACACCTAGGGTGAATATAAACCCTTGTATATACATCTGCATATCTCGCACAGTTTTGCTGCCGAAATGTGCTTACTTTCGTCTGCAATAACAAAGAAATCGCCTTCTTGAACAAATACCTCTTGCTCTACAAGGCCTCGAGAACTCCACGGGGTTCCGGTGTCTGCCCACTCCACGACTCGCATTAGTCCTTGTCTGTACAGTGAACAAACAAATAAAAACAAAAACAAAAAGAAACAAGTAATGAGACGCAGGCAGACAGACAGACTCCATGCAACGAAGACGAAACAAACACCATCACATGACGGCAATACACAGCCTCCGCGTAACGAACCCATTTTCATACATTTATTTTACTCTATATTTCCTTCTACTTCTGCAGACAGAGAAATGCACTTCGTATGATTACACCCCCCTTGCAAAACTACCAAACTGCAACACAACGAAGGCAGTCAGATCCGTCAGTCTTACCTGCGTGCCCCCGGGTCACCAGCAGAAGCTTTCTTTTGCTCTTCCCTTTTTTCATATTCCCGTTTCCATGTAGAGGAATTTTCGTTGTTGAATTTTTCCAGCAAGTCATCAACACCCGGCCACCTGAACAGCTGCGACTCTGCTGCTATTGCTGCATTGCGCATTGGCGCCTCCGCTATGCGACACAGAATACCCGAGGCAGAGGACCGCCGCAGCACCAGCAAACGCATGAAACCACTCGTTGCAAATCGGACCTTTTCTCCTTTGAAACACATGCAAACAACAAACACAGAAGTGCGGTATATACAGGCATGTATGGTCGTAAACTGTGTATATGCAGATTTATATAATGTATAAAGATATGTGTATATATTTACATGCACGTCTGTTCTAAATGCACACGGCAATACACTGTAAAAGTAAGAAGACGGTGCCACGGAAATGTTATGATAACAGCTGCATCTGCATATGCTTGGTGTATATGGAGATGCTCCCGAAGAGACATATCATAGCTTTTGAATATCTCGCAGATGTGTTTACATGCACAAACATGAATATGCTGCTTTATTTTATATCTACGTTGCATGCAGACGCATTTAGAGATAGGTGCAAGCATCAGCATACACACGAAACGCCCAAGGCAACAAACGATGTCCTTAAACATATCTGTTGATGCTTTAGGGCTTATATGAATAGCGAAAACGCCGGATGCGTCTTTACGAGGTGTTGGCTGCGCACGAGCATCGAACAGGGGCGCGTCAGTGAGCTGCCTGCATGCAAGCACGAACCTGATGGGTCCATAGAAAGAACCCCGAGGCTGCAGCAGCCGTTTTCTGTAGTCTGCTGGAGAGCGGCCTCAACGAGAGGAGTCAAACTGAAGTGGCTTTGCACTGAAGAGTTTAAAGAATGTTTCTCGTCAACGAGTGGCTGCTCGCCAGACTGAGTCTGATGAGGTGCCCCTTGTGATGCAGACTGCTGCTGCAACGCCTGCAGCTTTTGCTGCAGCTGCTGCTGCAGCTGCTGCAGTACAGATGCTGCAAAGGCGCGCGGATTTCGGCTCAGCTGCCAACGCCGGGTGGACACGACGCCGCAGGCGAAGTCTTGTCTGCGTAGAGGAAACCACAGTCAGCGGCAGCAGCGCATGTTTCTTGTATTGTTATCAAAGGCAATGAACTTGAATATTTTATTAGTTTCTTGCATTCAATCTTAAATACGAAGACGGTCACATCCACAGGCAGCTCCTCATCACACCCATCCTCTGACAACTGCACCAGCGCTGGCAGCTGCAGCTGCAGCTGCAGCACTCTATTCAGATGTTCCAGTTGCTGCAGCCGCTGCGGTGGCTACTGCTGCAGCTGCTACTGCATAGACGTTGTAAAGGAAACGGTCTTCTTCACAACAAGAGCAAGCAGCTACGCGTTCTGCATGCATGCATGCTACGTGGACGCAGCCATGCAGGTTGTGTGTACGCTTGCAACGATATGCATGGATACATAGAGCCAGTGTTGCTGCATGCATTCATACAGTGTGCACCAAAGGAATAAAGCATACACTACTTGTACGAGTAGGCCCACACAAAGCTCAGCACTGTACAAGTTCAAGCGTTAACCACTAAAGGTATAGGGTTTATCTTGTGAACAATATTTCATATTCATTTGAATTTGTATTTCTATTGGCCCCCCAACTGCTCCCCCGGTGTGTGGTTACACAGCAGCGGCTCACAAAAGGAAGACGTTGGGGTGTATCTGCACGCCGCCGTCAACCAGAGTCTCGTCAGCCGTCGCTGCATGCAAACAAAGCCCCGAAGTTTCCCTCCGCCGGTCACAGATCCGCATGCGCTGCACGAAACACACGACAGCAAGGAGAGATACAGAAACAATAAAGGCAGCAACAAAGAAGAACAAAAGCACCCATAAACACGGAATTACAAAGGAGAAAGGAGGCAGTAACAAACAACACGAAAAAAACACTGCAAAGAAAAAAGGAAGAAGAAAAGCAAACAGAGCAGGCCAAAGAAGAACGGCATCTCTAAACAAAACACATAACAAGGGAAACAATAAAAACAATGCAACAAAGAATAACAAAACAAATGCAAAGCAGCAGCAAGAACGGATAATGATGAATGCTGTATTCTCCGTCTGTGAGTACTGAGCAGGGGTTTAGGGTTTAGGGTTTGGGGTGAAGGGTTTAGGGTTTCGTTTCCAGAGTTTAAGATTTAGGTCTTTTAGTTTATAGTTCATCACCTAGGGTTTAGGTTTCAGAGTGTAGGGTTTAGAGTCTAGGGTTTAGAACAGATGTTTTAGGGTTTAGGGTTTAGGGTTTAGGGTTTATGTTGAAATATTGTGTATATATTTGCCTGCAGAGTTTCTAGCGGTGTGAGAAAGAGTTCAAGTTCGGGGGTTTGTTGCAGCTGCAGCCGCATGCGATGCAGCTTAAGGAACGCTTCTCTAGACAGCAGAGGAGCCGCAGCAGTTTTAATAATATCGTCGAGGGGCCCCTCTTCTTCTGCTGGTAGTTTCGTTTCTACCAGCCGCTCGCATCGTCCTAAACTATCACCCAAATAGCTCAGTGCTGGGGGCCTCCCTATACACTCCGCCCCAAACGCCTGCAGCAGCAGCAGACTCTCCTCGAGGATTTCCTGCAGCAGCAGCAAAAAAAAAACAATACAACAGTGGCTTTCATGCGGTGTACATACAACACACAACTGACAACGAGTTGCGGCTGCATAGACAGTATACGAAGCACTTGCAGCTATCCGCCTGCACCCCATGCCGGTGCTGCTGATGCTACTGATGCTGCTGCAGCTGATGCTGGTTGTTATGGCGCTGCTCATGCTGCTGATGCTGCTGCTACTGGTGCTACGCGTGTTGCAGATTCTGTTTGTGCTGCTGCTGCGGCGACGACGCTGCTGCTTCCTACGACAGCAGCAACCGATAAACTCTGTTTTTTTTTCTGCTTTTCTGTTTATCTGTTTGGTTGTTTTATTTGTTTGCTTGTGTGTTTGTTTGTTTGTGTGTTTGTTTGTTTGTTTATTTGTTTTGTATTCTTACTCTGGATTCCTGGTGTTCCTGCAGCGGCGGGTAGTTGAGGAGGCGCTGCAGCATTTGCGTCATTTTGTTGACCAGGCTCGAAGACCGGCTGTATACACCGCCTCTTAGGGGGCTTGCTGCAGCCGGCATGTGCTGCTGCTGCTGCTGCTGCTGCTGCTGTTCAGCTGCTGCTGCTGCTGCTGCTGCAGGCAAACTGCCTGCGAGTGAAGCAGCAGGAGAAGAGAAAGGAGGAGGGTCTCCCTCTTTGTAGGGCGACAGCTCTCTATACTCCTTGGCCGTAGGCACTGTTGCAAAACGAACGCGGCGGCTGCGCGTCGGCTGTGCTGCAGCACCTGCTGCTGCTGCTGCTGCTGCNCTGCTGCTGCTGCTGCTGCTGCAGCACCTGTTCCAGCAGCAGCAGCAGCAGGTGAGGCTGCAGACGTGGACTCAGAGGTTAAGTAATGGCTGCTGCTGCTCGAGGGTGTGTGTGCAGCACCTCGTGAATGAAGACCAAAGGCAAACGAATCAGATTTCCCGCGGAGCAGCGCAGGAGAAGCAGCAGCACCAGATGCTGCTGCTGCTGCTGCTGCAGCAGCAGCAGCAGATGCGGAGCCTCCAACTGCCATGGAGCTGCTGCGAGTTGGTGCAGCAGCAGATGTTGCTGCTACTGCAGGCTTGGGGTGCAGGTGTTGCATGCGTGCAGCTGCAGCCTTAGCTGACTCCCCAGGCCACCTGACTCTGTGGTGTATGCGCGACGCAGCTGAAAGCTTGGCGACGGATGTATTGAGGGTAGAGCGAAACGAAGGCAGCTGAGGCAGCAGCTCCTTCTTTATACACCCCGTATGAATGTCAAACCACTCAGGCAGAGAAGTGCTGCGGTGGGGGGCCCCGCGGTCCTGCTGCAGCGCCGCCTGCACCTCCTGCGGCAGAGATGTCACAGGCAGCGGCTGGTGATTCAGACGCAGAGAGGAACGGGGTCGGCTGCTGCTAGTGCATGCAGAACCAGCAAAGCCAGAGCTGCCTTCTGCTGCTGCTGCTGCTCCTGCTGCTGCTGCTGCTGCTGCTGCTGCAGGTTCTGTGGTTTCGTTGCCCCTTTCTCTGCTCGGTGGCTGAGGCGAGGCCAGCGTCTCCACGGTCGGGGTTGGAGTCAGGCTGCAGTAAAGAGGCGTGCAGCAGCCCGAGGCGCTGCTGCTGCTGCTGCTGCTGCTACTGCTGCTGCTGCTGCTGCTGCTGATGGTGGTGGTGTACTGATACTGCGCCCAAGCTGGCGATGTGTCTGTAACCGAAATGGCGGTGGCCGGAATACCCACAGATCGCAGAGGGGCGGCAGACGCAGCACTGTTCAATACCCCAATATACTGGTGTTTCAACGGTTGGGGGTTGATGCCTGTGCTGCTGCTGTTGCCGTTCCAGCTGCTGCTACTGCTGCTGCTGTTACTGTTGCTGCTGCTGCTGCTGTTACTGTTGCTGCTGCTGCTGCTGATGCTGCTGTTGCTGGCGATGCTGCCGATGCTGTTGTTGAAGGCGTTGATTTCTGTTTCATCGGAGGGGTCCGCGGCAGTTGCACTGAAAGAGGCAAAAGAGTCAAAGGTAGAGGAGCCCCAGCCACTGGCTGTAGACACAGAGGCCCCTACACCTGAGGGGTGACGCACTGTGCTCCAGTCTGCAGCTTTGTTTGGTTTAAGGGGAAATTCATTTGATTCAGTTTCGAGGGTTGAGAGAGAGGGTCGAGCAACGAGCTGATCCATGGTGAGGCAGCGCCAAAGGCGGTGGTGTTTTGGGTGTTTCAGAAAGAGCAGTGATCGTTGCGGTGATAGAGACGATGAGGATTGTTGTTTTAAGGATTTAGTTGCAATAATATAATAATTTTAATTGTTTTTTAGACAAAATTAAAGACAAAAACGAAGCCGAAGAAGAAGAAGAAGACAGAGTAAGGAAACAGCTGAAATGCTGTTCAGTGACCTGCTGATCGTTCTGTGGCGATGCAGAGAAAACCTGAAATATTGAATTTGTTTGTTTCGTTGTGTTGAGTGTGCTGCTGAGTAGCTGTAGAAAGCTGCGCGAAATAAAGTGATTTCAATGAACAAAGTGAGTGAAAAAGAATAATATTTAAGTTAATAAACAAAGAAATTGCGTTCTTTATATGTATATGTTTCTCCCGTTCAATAACAGAGGGATGCCGTGCACACCACACCACGCCTGCCTGTCTATCTGCTCCGCCTATTCAGGCGTGTATATTCGTGGTTTAAATGCTTTAATTCTCTTCTTTCTTCTTGTTGTATAATAAAATACTTTTTTATTATTTTTAATTATATATTTACTTTTTTATATTCACGATTCAACAACTCCTCCTTCGCACCGCCGTCTGCTCGCCAGTACAGGCAGTGACTGACCTGATGGTCACCTGCCGGCTCTGTGTACACCAGAAGCCTCCCCTTAACCCTTTTCAATCATTTTTTTTGATTTTTTGGTGTTAATTTTTAATTATTTAAAATATTATTCAAATTAAACTCGAATAAACCCCAAAAGGAAAAGAAGAGTAGCGCAGGACCCCACGCATAAGCCGCCCGAGGGTCACCATTACTGCCAGGGCCTCCAGCCCTTTCCCGCGGCTTTATTTAAAAACTAAATTCATAAATGTTTTGTTTATAATATTTTAAATGAAAATGTTTTTCGTTTCAGCTCTTATTCCCCCCAGTTGTTTGGTTTCTGAAGCCCCCATAACAAACACGAACGCCGCTTGAAGGGTTGCTGCTTACTGCTTATAAGTCTACACTCTTTTTATTACTCTACACACTGAATACTGCTTATACACGCATTGTACTGTCTATACACACTCCGTGCTGCTTATAATTATATCTATATGCTGCTTGTTGTTTATACTTACACACACTGGTTACTGCTTATAGTTGCATATACAGCTGAAGGTTTGTAGCTCAAGGTGTAGAGTTGAGTGCTGAGGGCTCAGCAGAGCGATGCACGGGGAGCTGTGCTGCGTAGATAACCCCGGGCTGCTCTGCTGCAGTGGGTGTAGTAGCAGCAAACAAAACAATGAAAATTCAGTATAGAGAAATTAAATTAAAATAAAAATGCAATAGAGAGAAAGATGGTGACGAAAGAAGAAGATGAAGATAGAGAGAGAAAGAAAACACCAAAAAAAACAGTGAAAAGATAATACAGTTTAATAATAATAATATTTTTATTTTTATATTATATTGTCTCTATAATAATATAAAGAAAACGAGAGAAAGAATAATAAAAAGAAAGAGAAAGAGAAACAGAACAATACAGAGCAGCATATAGAGAGAAAATGATGAACAACAAAAGAAAGAAAAGAAGATAAAGAAAAAGGAGAGGGAGAGTAAACCTTTCTCTTTCTTTTTTTTTTTTTATTATTTTTTTTTCGTTACTAAGCGTTGAGCTAACCACCAACAAATATAAATTACTGAATATATAAACAAATGAAATGCCGGCTTGAAGACAAATTAATATTTATAATTAACAGACAGACACAAATAAAATAAAATAAAATAAAATAAAATGAAACAAAACTATATAAAATAAACTAAAATAAAATAAAATAAAATAAAATAAAATAAAATAAAATAAAATAAAATAAAATTAGCAGCATACTGGGAGCCGGCCTGAAGTGAAGAGAAATCAACAGGCTGATGGATACAAACAGCAAAAGAAACGAAAAAAATATAAAACAAGAGATAAACAACAAATTTAATACATAAAATATAAACAAACAAACAAACAAACAAATAAACAAACAAATAAACAAAAAAAATAAAATATAAATTGAGGGATTAAAGAAAAAAACAATATGTTGTATTGTATACACTCGTGGCGCCTCGCTATACCTTCATATAAAAATGATATTTTTGTATACAATAAACAATTATTTTAATATTTATAATTTAAATATAAAATATATATTATTTTATATTTAAATTATATAATATTAATTTAATTTATAAAAATTAATTCTTGTTTTATGTTTGCATAATTACGGAATGTTTGACGGAGCACTCAGTTCACTCTGTCCTTTGGTTTTGCTTTTTTTTTTTATTTGTTTTCATCTGTTTTACTTCATTTTTTATTTTTTTTAATTATATATTTAATTTGTTTGTTTCTAAGTTTATTACTTTAATGCCACTGTATATGCTATTTCTGCTCGTGCTGTCGCTGCGCGGCTGTTCAGTTCCTCGCTGCCTGCTACTTTATATTTGGCTCTATAAAAAAAAGAATATAATTAAAAAAATAAATAGATTCAACTTTATTTAAAGTAATGAGTGATGCTTTCATGCAAACCATCGCAGATCAGATGCTGGAGCTGAACGAGCTGTACAGACACCGCAGCTCTGGCGGTGCAAGACCGCTGCTCTGGGGGCATCGTTGGGCTCCTCAGGGGAAAATAGAGAATATAAAAGCAAAAAAAATTAAAAAGGAGTTTATAATTTCTCATAAAAATCAATTTATTCAAAAAAAAGTTCAAAGTTTTCCCTCTGAACGCTCTGAAATACGGTTGACGGCTGGGCGCTGCATGCGTCGTCAGCACTCCAAGGCGGCGGCGTTTGTGGAAATATTTTTGTAATTCTTTTTTTAAATATAAATTAATATTAATTTTAGAAAAAAACAATTTGTTTTGCAGCATAATAGCGCCTGCATCCCCACCCAGCTGGCAGTGAGCACGCCTCACTATACACAGCCTGCGGCTCGTCTCGCCGCCTCTGTTCTCTCCCTTCTTTATCTACACAGCAACCCGCCACAGCCAGCTGGGTGTGAGTGGAGCGTTTCAACACCCCTCACCCAGGGCTTCACCAGCAGCAGCAGCAGCAGCAGGAGCAGCAGCAGCAGCAGCTGCTGCTGCTGCTGCTGCAGGTACAGCTACTTTGTCTCTCTTCTTCCTCGTGCTCCTCCTGCGGCTGACTTCACGCCATTGGGGCCACTCACGGAGGAGGGCCCCCCAATGAGCGGCTGCCTGCTCTCGCCAGTTTGCTGCCCGAACGCGGGCAGCAGCAGCAGCAGCAGCAGCAGCACTAGCAGCAGCAGCAGCAGCAGTAGCAGCAGCAGCAGCAGCAACAATATAGATGGCGATGGCGAATGCTGCTGCGGTGTCTGTACACCCGGATCCTAAGCGGGGGCCATCCCCCCCTGGCTCGAAGGCAGCAGAGGCAGGGGGGTTGGAGGGGCCCCCTATGGGGGGCCCCCCGCAGCAGCCACAGAAGCAGCAGCAGCAACAGCAGCAGCAGCAGAAGAAGAAGCGTGAGCAAGCAGCAGCACAGACAGCAGCAGCAGCAGCAGCAGGAAGCAAACCAAACTCCTCAGCTGCTGCAGTAGACAGTTTCATTTCTCGTCTGCCCAGCATCTACTCTATTGACGATGACGCAGCAGCAGCAACCCCAGCAGCAGCAGCAGCAGCAACCCCAGCAGCAGCAGCAGCAGCAGCAGCAGCAGCAGCAGGAAGCACGAAACCCTCTGCATGCGTCTCGTGGGAGCTGCAGCAGCTGCCAGCTGACGGCGAGCTGATGCTGCATCTCCTCCGCCGCCTGGAGACCCTTCTTGCATACAGAGATGAGGTAAAGCATTCACACCACCACCACCAGCAGCAGCAGCAGCAGCAACAGCAGCAGCAGCAGCAACAGCAGCAGCAGCAGCAGTAGCAGCAGCAGCAGCAGCAGCAACAGCAGCAGCAACAGCAACAGCAGCAACAGCAACAGCAGGAACAGCAGCAGCAGCAGCAGCAGGATTTGCTGCTGCTGCTGCTGCAGCTGCTGTTTTATTTCTCCTCCTGTCTGCTTTATTATTCTCAATACAACAGACAAACCAACAAAAAAAATAAAAACAACTGCTCGCTGCCAGGATTTAGGGTTTAGGGTTTAGGGTTTGGGGTTTAGGGTTTAGGGTTTAGGGTTTAGGGTTTAGGGTTTAGGGTTTAGGGTTTAGGGTTTGTGTTTAGGCGAGCGAGATTCTGAAGGGTTTGGTTGCAGAGCGGCGGGAGGAACTGACGAAGGCCGCCTCTGTCTTGGGGTTTGTCTCTTCTTTTTATTTTTTTATTTTATTTTTTTTTTATTTTTTCTTTTTCTTTTTATTTTTTTTATTTAGAGTTGTTTGTTTATTTGTTTTTGTTGTTTTTTTGTGTTTTATTTGTTTGTTTTTGTTTGTTTGTTTATTTTTTTGTTTGTTTGTTTGTTTATGTTTTTTGCTTGTTTTTATTTGTTTATACATTAATTTATATATTTATTTATATATAAATTTATGCACTCATCTATATGTTAATTTATAAATTCATTTATATATTAATTTAAATACTAATATAAATATT